GAAATGCAAAGTGCTCCACTTAGGAAGGAACAATCAGTTCCATACATACAAGATGGGAAGCGACTGTCTAGGAAGGAGCATGGCGGAAAGAGATCTAGGGGTCATAGTGGACCACAAGTTGAATATGAGTCAACAGTGTGATGCTGTTGCAAAAAAAAGCAAATATGATTCTAGGTTGTATCAACAGGTGTGTTGTAAGCAAAACTCGTGAAGTCATTCTGCCGCTCTACTCTGCACTAGTTAGGCCTCAGCTGGAGTACTGTGTCCAGTTCTGGGCGCCACATTTCAAGAAAGATGTGGAGAAATTGGAAATGGTACAGAGAAGAGCGACAAGAATGATTAAAGGTTTAGAGAACATGACCTATGAAGCCAGGCTTCATGAACTGGGCTTGTTTAGTTTGGAAAAAAGAAGATTAAGGGGGGACATGATAGCAGTTTTCAAATATCTAAAAGGGTGTCACAAGGAGGAAGGAGAAAATTTGTTCCTCTTGGTTTCTGAGGACAGGACAAGGAGTAATGGGCTTAAAGTGCAGCAGGGGAGGTTTAGATTGGACATTAGGAAAAGATTCCTAACTGTCAGGGTGGTCAAATATTGGAATAAATTGCCAAGGGAGGTGGTGGAATCTCCCTCTCTGGAGATATTTAAGAACAGGTTGGATAGACATCTGTCAGGGATGGTGTAGACGGAGCTTGGTCCTGCCTTGAGGGCGGGGGGCTGGACTCGATGACCTCTTGAGGTCCCTTCCAGTCCTATTATTCTATGATTCTATGAAGAGAAAGTCTTAACTTGAAAAAGTGTAGAACCCTCTAAAATTGATTCCAAATAGCTTTTCCATATATTATAAAGTCATGAGTTTAAAAGGTTTTGTCCTATGAGAGAGAAGAAGGATGCCCAGTGAGCAAGGTGCTAGCCTTGTTACTTGGGAAATACATGTTCACTTCTCTGCTATGCCACAGAGTGCGTGTGACCGTGGTAGTGTCTCTTAGGCTATTTCTACACGGCACAATTCATCTAATTGATTGGTACATGGATAGCCTAACCTGCTCATCAAAGCATTACCCGTGTTACTGAACCCTGGATTCCTTCCCAATCAACTGTGAAGAACTGAAACGCATTGGGAAGAAGAGGGAAATGTGGAAAGGACATTGAGGAACCATCAGCACTTGAGTGATTTTGCCTGCATCCTCCTGGCAGAGTGGGTGTTTTCCAGCCTGAGTTGAAGCAAATCCCTGGCTCTTACCTATAGCCAGCCAGCATGGGCTTCAATCACTTGCAAGCCCAGGTCAGAGGCTTTTTTGCATGGATAGTAGAAGGGTTAAGGCTAAAACCCAGGTCAAAGCCTGGATTAACAATGCAGTGGAGATATAGCCTAAGTCTCTCTACTGGAAAGCTGCACATCTCACATCCTGTTTCCCACCTTTATGGATTGTGAGATATCAAGCCTCAGATCTGTCACTGGTCCAAGACTGAATGCTGTGCATCTTGGGTCTCAGGCCAGTAACCAGGAGATAGAAGGAGACTTCCTTTTTGTTCAGTCTTGATTTCAAACAAATTGACAGTTGTTTTTAGAAGCTGCTCAGTTAGTGATATTAGAATGGGAGGCAGGGAGATGGACTGATTGGCAGAGAGCAAGTGAGGCAGTCAAAGAGGTATGTCTTTGCATTTTTTTCACATGGGTAGCCACATCACACCCAAGTGATATTCTTAAAGACACATTTAATAGTTTAGGCTGGGATTTTCAAAGCAGTTCAAGGAAGTTAGGTACCTAAGTACAATTGAAATTCAAAACTGTGCTCAAGACGGCACAGCAGTTATCGCTAGATCCTCATTCTAAATACAGGGAGCACAGCAAGTCACATAGGTGCTGCAAATCCCAATAAATGCAGTCAGTGGTAAGATTAAGAGCACACACAGAAAAATCTTACCTATGTGATTGCCTAACAGACATTATATTTAATAGCCCTTTGTCTCGTTGTGTCTCTCTACTCAACACATACACATAAACAGGTACATACATAGTCAAAAAGAACATAATACCAATATAAATAGTAGCAATTCTGACTATATAAGGTAACAAAGTCTCTCAGACATATTACTCACCCAGAACAGCTGACTGAGGAATCACCAGTCTTCTGCCCAGAGCAGTTTTGGAGAAGATGTATGCGTCCATTTCTCAAAGTCATTGTCAGCTCTCCATACCTCTTCTTTCAGTCCTGTCTGTGCTTTCTAAATTGATAGTGTGGCTCCCCAGATACCATTTACATTGTCTGGTTCTAAATCTAGATTGAGACATCTATAAATGATGAGCTATAGGGCAATTCAAAAGGCACTGCCTGGCCCAGTTTTTCAATATAAGGAGCTGTTTGGGGATGCTGTTTTCAAATGATGAGTGGGTTGAATTTAGACCTGGCATATGCAAGTTCAACAAAACTGACTTTGGTGAATTTGTTCTTGCTTACTTCGGATCTAAATGTGGCAGTGTCATAAGCTTGTATGGCTAAAACAGAAATAGAATGACATGCAAGGTCACTGCTTTATATTCAGTGTAGGAAAGGAAGTTCTGTTTGGCCCTCTACCTTATTCACATAGAGCCAGACTCGGCTTCCCCAACTCCTAGAAGTGACATATTTTTCTTGCGTGACAATCTCTATCTGCTCCTTGTGTATCTTCCAGTTAAATCTTCCTACTTTACTGATAAAAACAAGTTTTTACTATGGTTAGAACAAAGCAGAGGTGACACAGCTATAGTGAGTGAGACTGTTTCTATCTCTGTTTACAACCCATACATATTCAAAAAATGACAAAAGATAGCATGCAAGAATTAACAGCTATGCGAGTGTTGCCTAGTGGATAGAGCTTTAGATTGGGATCCAGAAGATTTGTGTTCTATTTCTACTTCTGACACTGACATGTGAGGTAACCTTAGCAAATCAGGTCAGCTTTCTGTGCCTCAATCTCCCCACCTGTTAAATGGTGATATGGATACTGATCTCTTTTGTAAATCACTTTGAAATCCCTGGCTGCAAAGTTCTATATAAGAGCTTGATATATCAGAAATGAGTCAATCAGTCAAGCTCCCCTCAGATAAGGGTAAAATTTGGGTCAAGATTTGCACTTTGCAGCTAAGATCCATGTCTGTTATTTACAGATGGACCCCATCAGCCTGAAATCATTAAAGCAATCTGACAGAAACTGAAGTCAATGGAGTTACACTGATTTACACCAGCTGTGAATCTGACCCACTGATTTTATGGTCTAGAAGAGGGGTGAGCAATAGTTTTTGATGGGGAGGGGGGCATTCTAAAAATCTGTAAAATAGTAAAGGGCTGCATTCTTCCATGATATTAATGGAGGTGGTGTGGGATGGAGGTTGGGTGCAGAAGGGAGCTTGGGGTAAGTGATTAGGGTGCAGTTTTGGAGGGTAAGGGGAAGAAGGGAGTTTGGGTGAAGGTGCTCTTGAATGATGCAGTTGTTTGTTCAGAAGCCAGCATCCTAAGATGATGGCCAGCAGAGTGACTATTTAGTTACCATGCCACATGGCCATCTTGAAAAGGGGGCAGCTACATAGAACTAAATCAAGGCTGTGATCCAAAGCCCAATAAGTCAATGGGCTCAGGCCCTAGTAGCTACCTGATCATAAGTATTTGCTCTTATTAGTCTCAGGAATGGTTTGTGATGTGACAAGTCTTGGAGATCCTTTTAAAAGCATGTATTGTTCCAGACCCCCGTGAAAAACTGAAACATGGCCACCTGACAAAGGCAAGAGGAAACATCTTGAGTTCTCTCTTCCATGATCAACTGTCGCTGGCAGAAGAGCTCTTTTAAAAAAACAAGTTTTCATTTTACATGTTTGTAACTGTGCTGTACAGCCACACATACCATGACTCAGGGATATGAGGTTACCGGGATGCCAACTGGCAGAGGGTACAAGGATTACGTTGGATTTTACAGGGATCACCTAGATCAGATCTATCCATCATAGTTCCCTGAAAGATGGTGTGGGATATGTCTACCAAAAGCCACTGGTCATCACAATCATTGCAATATTGGTGTAAGGACAATATTTAAGGAGTAATGTACCTATACCAAAAGTATGTTATTAAGGTCTTGGTGTTAAGGCAGGTCACCAGGTGGTGACCTAATTTGGAAATATTTTTTTCAAGCAGGAGGTAGCAGACACCTATTTCCCCATCTGGTTATATGCATACTGTGTATTGTATGCCTCACAACATAGGCCTATTTGCCTACTTAGCCAGGGCTAAATAAAAGATGGCAAAAATCTACCAAAAAGAAGTCTCCAAAATGAAAAATGACAGGAGAAGGGGGTGTTATGCTTATAAACAAAAAAATAAATAATTGTTTTGGCATGTCTTGAATTCTGTGTTTTCTTGCACCCGTTTGCATAGGAGGCAAGTTAATAGGATGTGCTCACAGGAAAGGAGGGCCAAAGCCTGGCTCTAAAACTCTGTAAGAATTTTGGGTGAGCAATACTCTACTAGGCTGGAGAGTATCTTATTAAGGGTAGGCTGTAAAATACATATAAAATAATAGCATAACACGCAAACATTTGTTTTCAGTAATTCTACTTGCAACAATTTAAGTCTGTGCTATGTCACATATATATCTTTGATTTCACTATAAAAATACCTCAGTGCTATGTGTTAAGCTGACTGATAATCAGGGGTGCGACTCGTAGGCTAGGGCTGGTATTTCTCTGGAAGCAGCAAATCTGCACACGCTATGAGTGTCCAATGGACCAAGAGCTGGACACTCCAGGAACACACCTGGCTGGTTCAAGAGCTGGCATAGAGAACGAGTGGGGAGACCTGAGGGGCCTATAGGGAATTGTGTTGCCCATGGCCAGAGGAGTTGGGGAACAGACCCATGGCAGGTACACACAAGACTGTGTCACACTACGGGCAAATGGTAGCTCGATACTTCACAACCATGGTTACTCAGGAAACATCATACCTACTATTTGTATTCATATTACTGTTACCTTCTGCATTGCATTTGGGCAGACCATCAGGTCCCAGTGCCAGCTTGCCCTCCTCATCATACTGAGCATCTGTGCCTGGGGGACACACAGGTAGTGGTTTCTTAGTTGGAGGCTCAGTAGTCGTTGGGTCAGGAGTGGTGGTAGTTGTGGGCGTAGTTGTAGTTGTGGGAACTGTAGTCGTAGTTGTTGAAGGAGTAGTTGTCTTTTTAATCATTTCAAGACCAATCAGTGGTTTCCCTCCAAGGCTTACTATTGGTTTATCTTGTGCACTTAATAGAGGTTTACTAAATCGCCCATGTCCAAACAAGGGTAATCCATCAGGACTCACTACTGGAGCACCCTCAGCATCTATGAGAAAAGAACAAAATGAAAATACCTAATTGCAGATTCTCTGTGCTTTTAAATCATGGTGTTTAGCATCAGCAGATTTCTGGTTACAAACCCAGAAGTCTCACACCTAGGGGAAACAGAGATATTATTCAGGAGGACCTCATATAAACCACAGTGTCATCCATTTTTAGCAGCTATTCAATTAGTATTTCTTTTGAAGTTGAGCAACTCCAATCCAGGCTCTGAAGAGCTAGAATTCCAAGAGTGTGTCAGAAAGAGTGAAGAGAGGTACAGTAAATCTTGGCTTAAAATAGGCAAACCCTGCTAACTTGTATCTTCAACATTCCAGCTATCTCACATCTGCCTCTGTGTTGCCTGATGTCAAAGACAGGACTTGATGGACCTTGGGTCTGATCCAATATTGCAAACATCTACATTCCTTTGTTTTATTCCCCATTCTGTTCAAAGGGGATGCTGTCTTGATCAATGTATTTTTTAAGAATCCACATATTATTGGAGGAAAGCTGCGGTGTTTCTTCCTTCAGTAAATCTCAGCAAAGGAAAGACTATGTGTCCCTCTAGTAAATGACTTACCATAAAGAAGATCTAACATTTAACAGACATGGCAAACTGTGACTTTAAAATACCCACTTTAGGGGAAAAGCCAACGGTCATTTCGAATTTCCACCTAGTTTTGTGGCTAAACCATAAACTGGTGCATAGCATGAGCCAAATTTTGTTTGGCAACATGAAGGAGGGCGAACTAACTCCTCTGCTCATATGGATGACAACCAGTCAGTAGAGAGAGATATGTTGTCAAGCAGCAAGTCATGGCTCTCTGATTTGCTACCTCAGGCCCAGGCGTAAAGATGCAGCTTCCACTCATTTTGTATCCAATTCTGCCTCCTCAGGATGGCATAGAACACCACTCTGATACACATTTACAGGTGCAATTACAAAGAGATAAAAAGGGATGTGATCACAGAGAAACAGCCTAAGTCTGCAGTATAGTTGTGAATGGCAGCCCCCAGCAAACAACTGTTCCTATATAAAACCACTCCTGAAAATTATACCGGTTCCCAGCAGAAACAGCTATGTAAGAGGCTATTCTCCAGCTGAAACGGATTGTACAACATATTTCATACCCATCTCTTTATACATTGAAGAGGATAAAATCATAAGCTCTTTGAGGCAAAGACTTCTGTGTTTGTACAGTGCCTGGTAAAATAGGGCCCAAAATCCTGGTCTAAGTCTGTGTGAATGATTATAATATAAATATTAAGGGCCCCATGGAACCTTGGTTCAATGCCCTGTATAAGAGAGAGGTGGTGTGTAGCTGAGCTACCCCTGGAAGAGCTTGGAATAGGATTTATTATTGTTTTGCTTGCTCAGTATAGGAAATAACTTAGTAAGAAAAACACTAGTAGGTGTGCAGCTTCCCCTGTGCTCTAGCTGCAATGCAAGGACCAATACCAGACCATACAGGGTGTGTTCCCCTTCTCATCAGTGCAGCAAAGAGGATATTCCCCTTATTCCCTTGTGCCACCATATTAAGTTGGGCCACAATCTAGCCCTTAATAAAAATAAAATGTGCCCCTTCTGCTACGTGTGCCAGAATTTGGCACCAGAGATAAAGAAAAAAAATCTGTCCTTACCAACAATAGTGCGGCCATCTCCTCCTAATTTCACCCGGAGGGGGTTTCCTTGGGAATCTTGGAGGTATCTTCCTTCAGTATTTAACACCAGCCCTCGGTCAAGATCTATGATCTAAAAAGCAGAGATAGGCAAGTTCCAGTATTTCTAACATGAAATAATATGAAATTATTTGTGCAATATTAGTGATACCAGAGGAAGAGACGTTTGGAGTTAAGTTTTCAGAAGTGCCTGAATGACTTAGGGATAAATTGTCAAGGGAACAAATGGCAGTTAAATCCCTAACTTCTAACTGTGCCTTTGAAAATCACCTCATTAGGAGCTGAAGTCCATAGGTCACTGAAATTACTTAAGCACTTTTGAAAAAGGTATTTTAGCTTCTAAGTGATTTAGGCCCGGTGTGGGGTTTTTTTTTAATAAAGGTATTTGGTAATTATTTGTATGCCTAAATAATTTAGGAGACTAAATCTCATTTCAAAAGGGACTTTATGCCCTTTGAAGCCAAAGCCCCATTGACAATGGGATTTAGGCTCTTAAGTGCCTAAAGCCCTTTTGAAAACAAGTGTTAGGATTCAACTAGCCAGACATTATGGAAGGCAGGTACTAAGTGTCAGATCAAAATAGTTTACATTTTATAAATGCCCATGTGCATGTTCTCCACGCTTCCTTGAAAATGTCTTCCACAACAGGCATTTTAATATGGTTATCTAAGACTAAGAAAGCTAAAATGCCAAATGACATTTATTTAGGTTACGAGATACTTTACTCTGGAAATATCCCACTGATTTCAGTGGGTCTATTTGAGGAGTGAGGCACAAATCAGTGTGGGGCAGAAATAAAAAAAGTCATTGAATCATAGAACCATAGAGCTGTAAGAGACCTCAGAAGGTCATCAAGTCCAGCCCCCTGCTCTAGGTAGGACCAATCCCAACTAAATCAACCCGGCCAGGGCTTTGTCAAGCCAAGACTTAAACACCTCTAGGGTCCTCCCATATATAGGCAGGTTACCAACATAGTAGGTGGGATTTTTAAAAGTCCTGAATGGCAGATTTTAGAAGGCATTTAGGCTCCTAAAGACGGGTAACTTTAGGTTGGGAACTATTAGGAAAGGGATAGAAAGCAAGACTGACAAATATCATAATGCCACTATATACATCCCTGGTGTGACTACCCCTTCAATACTGTGTTCAGTTCCAGTTGCCTCCATCTCGAAAAGGATATAGTGGAATTGAAAACAGTTTAGTGCAACAAAGACGATCATTTTGATCTGATACTTAGTACCCGTCTTCTGTAATGTCTGGCTAGTTGCATCTGGACCTTTCGGTTTCCTTTTCTAAACAAATGAAATAATTTTTGGAAGCAAGTAAAATTCGGGTGAGTAAAAATTAAGTGCCAAATTTTTAAACGTCTTTAGGCATTGCTGTGCTTAGTGTTTCAATGCCTAATTGATAGCAATGGACTGGCTTTCATAAAAGGAGAGACTAAAAAATTTAGGGCTGTTCAGATAGAAAAGAGATGACTCGGGGTTGGGGAGAGAAGGTGAATGTAACAGAGGTCTATAAACTCATGAATGGCATGGAAAAAGTGGCAAAAGAAATGGTATTTACCCTTTCACACAGTACAAAAACCAGGGGTTACAAGATGAAATTAATAATCAGCAGATTTAATATGAACAAGTTTTTTTTTCCACACAATGCACAACTAACTTGTGGAACTTATTTTCATGGGAGGGTGTGAAGAGCAAAACTATAACACAGTTCCAAAAAGAACTGGACAAGTTCATGGAGCACAGGTCCATCAACGGCTGTTAGCCAGGATGGTTAAGGATGCAACTCCATGCTTGGGGTGATCCTAAAGCTCCAATTATCAAAAGATGGGGATGGAAGAGAGGGGTGGCTCACACCATAATTTCTCTGTTCTGTACAGTCCCCCTGAAGCACTAGCTCATGCCCCTCTCAGAGACAGAATACAACCAATGGCTTGACTCAGTATGGCAGCTCTTATGTTCTTACATTGAAATAGATGCCAAGTGGAATTTTCAAGAGTGCCGAGGCACTTAATTCCCATTGAAATCAATGAAAATTAGATATCGAAGTGCTTCTGGAAAACTTACAAGATGTCTCTCTTTATCTTTATGTGCCTAAACACCTGTAAAAATCTGATCCTAAGGGCTTGTCCGCATAGGGAAGCTATTCCACAATAAGGTAGGGTCTGAGCTTAAAATACTACAGCAGTTATTGTGGCATAACTGCCTGTGTGAACACTCTTAACCTGGAATAAGTATGTCCATACAAGCATCTATAAAGGAGTAGCTATTATGAAATGGTTATTTCAGAATAGCTGTGCCAGTCAATTTCCCCACGTAAAGAAGAGCTAAGTGACTTAGGATCTGCCACAGACATAACTGAAAAGCACTTAATTGAAGTCAGTGGGGTTTATGCTGCTAAATTACTCAGGTACTTTTGAAAATCCAATCCTTCAACCCTAAATCAGCAATTTAGATCAATTACACAATAATAAATATATTTTTTCATAGAGTAATAGATTTTAAGGCCAGAAGAGAGAGTTAGTCTGGTCTCTTTTTATATTGTTTTTGGTAAAAAGCACCTTTCCTTTCCCCCTCCCCCTTTTTATTTTAAGAAGTCAAAGCATGTTGAACTTGCAAAGAAGGTCACCCTACCCACTTTGTTCCTCGAGGACCATTGATTATTCTCTGTCCATTTGGTTTTCCATTATTACCAGGTAGTATTTTCCCATTTATATTTGTTTTTGTTGTAAGATTGGGCCTACCATTACTACCTGAAATAGAACACAATATAATTAGTATTCTGTAACAAGCATGTGCACAGAATCAAACCACACTTTACAAACTGTGCTTAATTATTTACACATGAAAGTATATGTCCGGTTCATATAGCTGTGTTTAAAATAACTAAATATAAAAGGTTTGATTCACCAGTATAGCCTGGCTACTGTGCATTGTTCTGTTGATGCAAAGAGGATGGAAACCTAACTGGCTGCTTAAATTGGATTTATGGCTACTTTGTATTACTAAATGATGCAAAAAAGCCACCACATACCAGCTAACCAGGCCCAGAATCTATTAAAACCAGAAAATTCAAAATTAAAGTTGAAACACAAACCATTATAATGATTATACACATTTATAAGAGTACCCATTGTACCCTCATGCCTTTTACAATAAATCAAGAAATAACAGCCTCTAAACAGGAGAGCGTATATCCTGAGTGAATCTACAGCACCCAAACCAATTTATCTGGAAAGCCAGAACAAAGGGATTTCCAGTCATAGAACTATCTGGTGAAGAATTCCAATATCTATTGCTAGGGGAGCTCACCTTGCATCACACTGTAAGAGAAATCTAACTCAGCTCTTGATTATTTTCTGGTGGAAAACAATTAAAAAACCCTAGAGAAAACCTTAGCACTAGAGACGTGAAAGTTCAGGCAGTAAGCATCACCCTGCTCCAGCTCCGTGGGGCCTGCCATGAACCGGGGCACCACGCAGCCAGAGGCGCCACAGGTAGGGGCTACTCCAGCTAGGCTGAAGCAGGCCCCGTGCCTGCTCCCCCTTTAATAGATTAACCAGTTAAACAATACATTTATTCAATTAACTGGGATTTTATATCCCTCCTTGGCACCCACACTTGCAATTTATACCCTATGGACTAATAACTGAAGCATTTCTGCCAAGAGCAAATGCTGAAAGTGTGTCAAATAAATGGCAGCCCCATGCACACAAACGGGAGCAGAATTTGATCTGTTGTGAAGGCCTTGCTAAAGAAATGACCATATAAACTGCACTATGTTAGCTCAGTGGGTTTCACATGAAGAATGTCTTTTCATTCTGGACTCTGGAGTTTTTGGCTTTCAGTTGGATCAGACCAGAAAATTAGCGGGTTGTTTTAGAGATGCATAGCAGATCCAGTCTTACCCTGTGGAAGTTAATGGGAAGTTTGTTACTGGCTGAAGAAGCCTGGATCAAATCCTTAGTTTCTAAGTATAAGAAGTGAAAGAACAAAAAACAACATACAAAGCATCTGGGCCTAATTTTCATTTGTTATATCATGGTAATTCGGGACATAGACATAGGCAAATCAGGAGCACCCATGGGGAAAAATTAGTGAGTTCTGAGTACTTGCCGGAAGTCAAATTTTCTCCTTCTATCTCCATTCCCACCATGCCTCTCGCCCACTCGTGGCCCTGCTTACCAAGTCCTCTCTGGCCCTCCCAGGGCTTCCAAAGCCCCTTGAACAGCTGATTTATGGCATTCAGGATGCTCTGGGAGGGGGGAGCAGGGAGGAGTGGGCTTAGGAAAGGAGGGCAGGAGTTTGGAGCATGGGTGGAATGGGGGCATCAGGGAGCGGGGCGGGGCAGAGCTTGGAGAAAGTGGTATAATGGGCTGGGGCAGGGGCATAGCAGAGGCAGGAAGAGATGGGGCGGTGGGAAGGAATGGAACAGAAGCAGCAAGAGGAGGGGTGGGGATGCGGGAAGGGACAGAGTTGGGGAGGGATGCCCCGCACATCCTGGCTAGAGGGGAAGTCAGCATTTATGAATCGAGAGAATCTCCACTGGAGAGTGGTTCTTAACAAACGCCAATGTAAGTGTAAGCATAATCTGGCCCATTGTGTTAAAAATTAGGCATTTACATTTCTGTCGGGATGCACTGTTGGAACACTTTCATATCTGTGCAGCTGAAAAGCAGCATTCCATTATGATTTGTTCAGACGAGGACAAGCACTTTGTTTTCTTCCTAACATGTTTGGCCTGTTTGCTCTGATCCCTGTTGGATTTTAAACAAAACAACATGCAGAATTTCCAAACAGACCTTTAGTCACTAAAAACATTCTTGAACTTTATAAGTATTTTTTTAAAAAAAACTCCATCACCCTGTGGAATCTTGGGTTTTTTTTTTTTAAGCGAAACCCCATAGTGACCTTATACAAAGAACCCAAAAGTGGAGGGAAATGGAGATGCCTCTGTGATATTTCTCCTTACCTCTGGAAGAAAACACTAGACTGAAAGAACAAACTTTGTATACTATAATTCAGCTCAGCACTAGAAAAGCAATGGCTTCAACTACAGGCACTCAATCTTGGGATGGAGAGCAGCACCAGGCATGTGTGATGCTGTTAACTTCTCTGTTCTGTTGCTGCTGATGAGGTGGTATGGCAGCTCCACACAGATGGATGTAACTAGTAGGTCCAAAAAAACAAAGGGCCTGATTTTTAGACCACCTATAGGTACCATTTAACTCTATTGGATTTGTGGGTGCTCAGCACCTCTGAAAAAAAAATTAGACTCTAAACTTAATCTCATGCAAAAAAATCCCCCAAACCCTATCCTCTCTGTGACACCAATGTTACTTAAAGTCCAGCCTACAAAGGAGAACTGTACAAACGAATGAACTCCTTCACCCAACTGGAGTCCCACTAAAGTCAACGTGGCTTAGCAAGAATCACTTTGCATAACTCCTGTTGATGGAGTGGGGCCATAATAAGCTGTTCAGTCTCTCGCCCCTATGGCACAAAAAAGGTACTTACTCAATAGAGAAACAGAACAGATATGGTTAAATACTACTTTTGAGTGTTTATATACTAGAGAGAGAGCAGGCATCCCTAACTATGGCTTACTGAGACTGTTTGGGGTATCAAATATTATACACTGTAGATTACAAAATAGTATTGCAATGAAATTACTGGCTTATTGTTATTGGTCACTCAGCAAACAAAATAAGAAGACACCCATCAAGAAATTAAGCCTCTGGTGGGCACTAACCTCAGGGGTAAATCTCACAACCATGTTAGAGACCAGCATTTAAATTCTGATAACAACAGAGATACAATCCCCTTTAAAGTGAAGCAGTGGAGGGGAGGGGGGAACGGTTCTGAAAACTAATTAAAGACAGCAGAACAACCAGGTCAGTATGAGAAAACTTCTTATTGTAAGAGGACAGGAGGTGATATCACAGAAGATAAATAATAGAAACCAGAACAGCACCTTTTTGTCAGAACCTGGAGAATTCTATTACAGTAACCCACGCAAGGAATAGAAATAGAATCATTTCTGCAGAAAAGAAATCTACCAGAGAAAGATCCTGCATGTACACGTTCTTTCCATATATACTTAGTTAAGACATTAATGCATAATTAGTGTTGCCAACCTTCCAAGATTGTCTTGGAGTCTCCAGGAATTAAAGATTATCAATTATGCCATGTGATGAAACCCCCAGGATGATGTTCAACCAAAATTGGCAACCCTGGTGTTGCATAGTTTCTATAGATAGTCCCTGATCATGTAATCTGATAACCTGGGGCAGACCCTGAGCCTCACTGATTTGACAGGACACCTAAAAGGCATGAGGGTCAGCTCAGATTGTAGGATCGAATCTTTGGACTGTGATCTCTCACCAGATCATCCTCTGTGTTGTGCACAGCGGGGAACCAATTCTGATGGGGCTTTCTGGAAACTACCAAACTAATACTGTACATTGAATTATGTATTTTAACTTGTATCTGAATGAAACAATTTAGCTTTTATCCAACAGCTACTGTGGGCGGGGGTAACACGCAAGACAACAGAATTAATAAAATAATTTAAAATATATTACCTTGTCTATATGGTGGTCTGACGAATTGTCGCTGGGAAAGGTTTTGTAGCTTGGAGCTCTGTAGCCGTTGACGGGGGACAGGAGGGGACGTAGGTGAAGAAAGAGCTAGAGAAGCAGTGTGTGTGGGATGCAGTTGAGAAGGCATATATATAGATGCAGAGGAGCGCGGCCAGGCCAACCTTGGCTTAGAAGATGCATGTGGTTTGTTAGGCGACTGAGAAACTCTTGAGACTACAGAAGATGATGACCTGCCTTGTGACACAGGAAGAGATTGTTTTAAAGTGGGAAGTTCTTCCTCCTCCTCCTCTTTTTCTTCTGCTGCATTTACTTTGTGTATTAGACGAGAGTCTATGGGTTTCCTTTTATCCCTGGTGCCACCGTCATTTATATTTATCCTGCCTCTAGAATTGGAGGAAGATGATCCTCTTGCTGATGAAGATAATGTGGGTTTCTCCTCCACTTCTCCTGCATCATAATCATCATCATCATCTTTTGAAACTGACTGGTGAGATTTAGATAAAGAGGAGAAATGAACTTTTGGAGAAAGCTCCACTTTTGTTGGTGGTGACTGGAGTGGGCCATCTTTTCTCTCATTTTTGGGTGTTATTTTAGTAGGGACTCTGGAACCTGAGTGGTAATTAGGAACTGAAGGATGAGTTTGTCTCAAGGATGACTTTGAAGATAAAGAAGTAACCCTGCTATTATGATTGTCCTTTGCTGTGTCAGTGACAGATCTAGAGCCTGACTCGGCGGGTTGTGATTGAGAAGATGATGATTTATATGAATCTAACACATGCTCACTTGACGAGGCTATCCTGGATCCAATAGATCTGCCTGCTGGCAAAGATGAACTGGATCCTCTGGAAGAAGTTGGAGAGTTATGCCTACTTTTCTGGTTTTCATCGACTGTACTAATTTGAGAAATAGATTGCTGGAGCTTTGAAAGAGAGGAATTAGAACTTCCTGGAGAAAAAGAGGTAGACATTCTCTTAGAAGAAGAGACATCTTTAGCAAATTCAGAATGGGCATTTATTCTGTCATCTGCTTCCTCCTCCTCAGCCACATCCTCCTGTAATTTTTCATTTCTTTTGGGAAAGATCTGAGAAGGACGCCTGCCTCTAGAATTTAAGGAGAACTGACGTTGAGATTGACCAACATGTGCCTTTTGAGAAGTGCTTGGCTCTGAAGGAAGAGTTTTTTGGGATGAAAAACGAGAGACTCCATTTGATGGGTTTTTAGACAAAGGTATACCCTGTTTTGATTTTGCAGGAATTTCCTCTGTTTCTGTATTAAGTTCATCTTCTGAACCAAAGAGCTGTGATTTTTCTTTGACTGGCACTTTGCGATGCGTACGAGACTCTACCAAAGGACTACTTCTTCTAGAATAGACTGCTACTGAAGAGGACTGTCTAGACAAGGAAGGTGAGTGGCCATGGGCAATAGTTGAAGGTAATGGTTTCTCATCTTCACCCTCCAATTCTCTAGTATCTCCATCAATATTGGAACTAGGCCTACTGACACTAGTTGAAGTTCGGTGTGCATTCATCTGAGAATGAACCTTTGAGGAGACAGCAGAATAAGGGGGCTTAGAGGGGTGAAGCTTAGAATCTTGATTATTGCTGATCTTGCTTAGAAACATATTGCCTGTTTGAGAGGATTTGTGCTTGAGCAAATTTAAACGTTCAGATGCAGTCTGTCCTAAAGACGGCCTAGAATTAAACCTAAAAGATGACGCGTCTTGTCTTTTTTTTTCCTCTTCAGTTTCTGTGTTCTCACTATAATTATCATCATCCCTTCCATCAATTTTAAGTTTAGCAGAAGATGGGATGTGAGAATTAGTCGAAGTATGATGAGCAGAAGCAGAAATAGCAGACTGTGATGATGCAGCTGCAGTGGCTAATTTTGGATCCTTCAACATCTGAGGACTAGAACCTGAGTGAAGTTTAGTTTGCAGTGATGGAAGTGAATCTCCATCATGAGAAGAAGAACTGGAACTTGACCTATCATTTCTTCGTTCTGCCTCTTTGCTATCATAATTGTCATAACTATCACGGGTGCCAGAGTGAACTACTTTAGAAGAGGGATAGCGTGAATGACTTTGAGAGCTTGTAACTGTTGATGATGTAGGTGATTTAATTGGCATAGAAGAGATGTGTGATTTAGTTTGATGGCTCTGGACCATTTTGCGAGACACAGCAGATTGCCGATGCAATGGCAAAGTCAAGTGAGTATGTTCTGGAATTTTAGGAGATACTCGACTAGACCCAGTTTTTTTTAATGGCACAGAATCTAGACTTACTTGCTTTTCCTCCACACTACCTGCAGTATCATGAGGTACATTTTCAGGAGGCAGATTATCTAAAGGGATTTTAGGGGAAGCCAGAGTGTTAGAGTTTTCTTGTCCTTGACGTGGTGTTTCATTATCTGTGTACTTAGGAATGGGGGAAGATGCAGAGGAAGAGGATGAGGAATGTTGGGTTAAGGAAGATGATGAAGAGCCATGTTTGTCTGTGCTCGTTTGTCTTGCCCTTACTGGAGTACGTAGTCTCAATGGCATTCTACCTGATGAAAGGACAGAGTGAAATGTCCTGCTAGGAGAATGGGGCCCAATGATTCTTCTTTGATCTTGCATTTTAGGCAATGGTGTTGGAGTTTCATTGGAGGAATCATGATCATCTGTAACTTCAGTGGATTGGGGATCAGGTTCTCGCTCTGATGTCTTTTTAGAGAATAGCTGTGATTTATTCAGTACTCCATGACTATTAAAGAGTTTATTCTTAAACTCAGAAAGAGGATTTTTTGAATCTCCACCACCAAGAGAACTGGATGAATGAACAGTATGCTTAGAGGAAGCTGATGGTTGGATTTTCTGAGAAGAAGCAGGAAAGATTTGAGGTGGGGATGAAGGTGCAGCATCACCAGGTTTTTTAGACTCCGTATTATCTTGAGTGTTTGTTTGCTGATGAACATTCAAATCATCTCTACTGGCTGCAAAAGAGAAAATAAATATTAAAAAAAAAAATCAGTGAAACATAAAAACAGCATGTCTAAGAAAAAGTAATCAGTCAGCAAGATCCAGATCGTGCTTGAGAACATTGAAGAGTTATTAATTCGGTGCTAGTCAACCTACTGAGAAATACAAATATCACTACATTATCAACTGTGGAAAACTTAAAATAATTAAACAATCAGTTGAGAGCAGGCAGCGCTAGACAAGTAATTAGAGTCCGATCTTCAGCATAGCTTTACTGATTAATAGATTCACAGATTCCAAGGCCAGAAGGGACCATTATTATCTAGTCTGATCTCCTGTATAGCACAGGCCATAGGGCTTCCTCAAAATAATTCCTAGAGCAGCTTTTAGAAAAACATCCAACCTTGGTTTTAAAATTGTCAGTGATGACAAAGGAATCCACCATGACTCTCATTCTGTTGGTTACCTACTCTCACCATTAACAATGTAAGCCTTGTTTCCAGTCTGAATTAGTCTAGCTTCAGCTTTCAATGCAGCTATGCTGATGTATACCAGTTGATTAATAGTAAAAAGTAAATATTTTGGAGTTGTGCCTGAATAAGGACTAAAGAACTTGGTACATTAACATTTAAAATTGTATTTCTATATGTTGGAAATATTATCAGGAACTGTACAAGCAAACAAAATACAGTATAGATTTCACACAGCATTGTTAAGCAAAAGGAATATATATTTTCCATGCATCAGGTCAGAAAACAGTCAGATACAGATTTACTTAAAGTATTTGCTTCCCTTTATACGGTACATGCTATGAAGATAACAGATTGGATCAGTATTGCCATAACAGGTGTAAGTTTTAAAGCTTATAACAAACTAGCTATTAAAGAATCTTTGAAACAGTTTTATGAAACTGGAATTTTACAGTTTAGTAGAATGAAAAGCTAATGACTGTAATAAAAGATTACACAAACATGTATATGCTGATATATATATAGACTGACTGATAAGCACATGATACTTACCTGTTGGCATAATGACACTGAAGGCTTTAGACTGAGGACCTTGTCCCCTCCTGTTTGCTGCACGAATTTTGAAAATATAGCGTTCCCCAGGCTGCAGACCATCTATTATGGCAGAAGTAGTACCTCCACGATAGGTGATGGACTTTGCTCCGAATGGCTTGAGAGCCGGGGCGTATGAAAGAATGTATTCTGAAATGATTTGGCAGACGGTTGGAAGGAGGAAACTGAAAACAGTCCTGTTTCCAGCGGACAGACTGTATGGGTAGGATGAATTAGAACGTGCATTACTAAAATTAATACATTAGCAATGCACGTCGAGTCAACAGCTGGAGTATAAGACATGATATACAGTAAGTGAAATATACATTCTTTCAACATATTAGACAATAATATATATAGTAAATTAGCTGATTAAACATACAAAATACAGGACATAAATCCTTCTACAGAACATTTAATCAAGCATCCTTATTGTTGCTCCTTATACCAAACATTCATTGTGATGGGAGCTATGTATCCCATTTGGAAAGCAAGTGGAAAAAATAAATGATTACAAAGTCAAATATTAGGTGGCTTAGCCGTTGCTATCACTTTTTTTTTGCTTAAAAGCACTTAAGATTCAAAACATTCTAAACTCAAAATATATTCCAATACAAATGTAACACATTAAATTTAATGATAGCTAGACAATTTGTTGAACATAAGTGGAGCACTGACATTCTAACCAGTCTTTAATTGCCTTGTAGCTACTGGCAATAAAGTCTGATGCAACCATAACCATTCTAAATTACTATTACCGAGTTATTACATTAATAAAATCGTGGTGGTACTGATTGTAAATACTCTGATAGTTAGTCAAAGAGTTCAAAGCTTTTTATCCTAGTAGAAATTTTTTAAAAAAATGTTTGATTCGAAACAGTGTATGCACCCAACTAATCTTTAAGATATGCAATATTAAAAGAAGGTAAAATATTTTATTAGTGATACTTTTTCGTTTAATCCTTTATATGCTAGATAGAGTTATCATCACTTTACACTTTCAGACCCCAACCCTGCAGAAGAATCCCCACTGCCACAGAGTCCCAATTACTTTTGTGAGGCTCCACAAGATGCAGCAGTCCAATAGCTAGATTCTTGGCAATACTGGGACCTTAGCTTCCCTAGTAACAGCATTTATGCAGAAGCTTAATTGAAAGCATGAGTAGTCCCACTGCAGTCAGCGAGGCTACTCACATGTTTAAAGTTAAGCACATGTTTAAATGCTTTTCTGGATTAGGACTTAATGGCTACATCTACATTGGCAAGATTTTGCGCAAATACTTTTAATGCTAGAGTTTTTGCGTTGAAGTATTTGCACAAGAGAGCGTCTGCACTGGCATGTGCTTCTGCTCAAAAGCATCCGTGCCAGTGTAGACGCTCTCTTGCGCAAGAAAGTTCCGATGGCCATTTTAGCCATCGGGCTTTCTTGCTCAAGAAATTCATGTTGCCTGTCTACAATGGCCTCTTGCACAAGAACATTTGCGCAAGAGGGCTTCTGCCTGAGTGGGAGATCATAGTTCTTGAACAAGAAGCACTGATTTCACACATTAGAACGTCAGTGTTCTTGCGCAAGAACTCCCCGCCAGCGTAGACAGGCAGCATGTTTTTACGTAAAAGCAGCCGCTTTTGCGCAAAATCATGCCAATATAGACACAGCCAATTAGTAAAGTTGTCCATACAGAGCAACCAGATGGTATATTAAATTCTTGCCTTGGTAACTTGAGCCCTTATCTAAAAGAGAGACAACTTAGCCCAGGATTTCCCAAACTTTTTCAGACTTGGAGCCCCTGCAGGGTCCTGAAAATGGTATCGTCAGCTGCTATTTACCCAGAAAGTTCCCTTTATTTGAGGTCTCCATAGTGTGAAAGTCCCTCATCTCTAAACATTTGTACAATACATACTGCAGCAGTATTAGTTTAATACTGCAGGTCATTTTGTCTTTAATTGCTCTCTCAAATTGTGAATTGGCAATAATGACTTACCTTTTACTTTTCCTTCACTCTCTGCAAGAGGTTCCCACGATGCAGTGACAGAGGTTGTTTTGCCTTTAATTGGCCAAACGTCTAAATTTTCAGGTGCACTAGCAGGAGCTGTGAAATATTCAGTAATACACAAAAATGGAAATTAGGGTTAAGTAATGGTTATGCACAATGAAATATATTTTTTGCCCGATGTTTGCATTCCAGCACCTTCTGTGCAATTATTTCAAAGACAAACTATGAACAACATTGATGAAGTATAGATCCCTCTATAACTGCAGTAGATCTAATCTTCAAAGGGTACATCTCACTGAGAATAATTTTGTTACATACCAGCTTCTGGGGTTCGTTGGTAAACAGAAGCACTCCATTTGCCTTCCCTTTCTCCCTCTGAAATTTGCACTGCAAATTCATACATGGTGTCTGGTATCAGCTTGTCCACTAACACCCGTCTGTTAGGTACTTGTTTGTAATCCCACCTTGCTGATTCCCCTTTTTCTCGATAACGAACAGCATATCGTCTGGGAATGGAAATGTGAGAGCCAAAAATTCACGTCCCATTAACTGAAGTTATTAGAATCAAACAGACTAATTCAAGCCTTTTTCTACTAATGTGCTTGTCACAAAAATCCAGTGACAGCAGAAGAGTGAGTAACCAGGAGTTAAATAATTTATTTTAGGCCCTGTCTACATGAGGAGGACTTCAACATGGTAGGTGCACCAGTGTATTTTACCAGCAAAGTGCTCCTAAAGTACACCAAAATTACTGGCAAAACTACTCTTATCAGAAAGACTTATTTCACCACTCTGAAATGAAACAAGTGGCATGAGCAGAAGTGCAGTCTCACTGAGGGTATGTCTACACTACAAAGTTAATTCGTACTAACAGCCATTAGTTCGAATTAACTTTAATAGGGGCTACACATACAAACTGCTAGTTCGAATTTAAATCGAATTAACAGAGCGCTTAATTCGAACTAAGTAAACCTCATTCTACGAGGACTAACGCCTAGTTCGAATTAAGTAGTTCGAATTAAGGGCTGTGTAGCCACTTAATTCAAACTAGTTGGAGGCTAGCCCTCCCCAGGTTGCCCTGGTGGCCACTCTGGGCCAAACTAGAGAAACTCTTCTGCCCCCCTCCCGGCCCTGGAGCCCTTAAAGGGCCACGGTCTGGCTACAGTGCTTGTGCCAGTTGCAAGCCTGCCAACACCCAGCCAGCAGACCCTGCACCTGGCACAGCATGAGCCAGCCACCTGCTGCCGCCCAGCCCTCTGCCTCTTCCCAGGACCAGACTGGCGGCTCCCAGGAGACTGCCCAGGGCCACAAGAGGCGGGCGCCCTCCTGGTCTAGTGCAGAGATCGTGGACCTCATCGAGGTTTGGGGGGAGGCCTCCAATGTCCACAATCTCCGCACTAGCCACGGGAACACAGCTGTCTACAGCAACATGGCTGACAGCCTGGCCACCAGAGGCCACATGCGGACCCAGGAGCAGGTCCGCTGCAAGATTAAAGACCTGCGGCAGGCCTACTCCAGGGCCTCCCAGCTAGGGGCGACCTGGAGGCATGCCCTCATTATGAGGCCCTGCACCACATCCTGGGGGCTCACGCGGTCATGCCCCCCGGGTGGTGATTGACACGAAGGAGGAGGAGGTGGATGCCGAGAGCCAGGAGCCTGCAGGGAGCCTGCCCAGGACCGAGGACCCCCGAGGCATCCCACAGAGCACATTGGCTGTGTCGTCTGAGGCCGGGGAGGGCTCCACATGTGAGTGCCATCATGCTCCCCTTATGTGTATGGGGGATGAGGGGGGAGAGGGAGCCCAGGGACCATGCGCCTGGGCCTTGCCCACCATGGAGCAGCAGCTGGGTGTCATGCAGGGGCCCTGGCCCATTCCCCACATGCTGACCTTGCCTTGCAGTGGGGGGCTGGGTTTCACTCACTGTGTCCCCAGGGAGAACTGACCACTGCTCGTTTCACCACAGCAGCAGCACCTGGGACTGCAGGGCGCACCACCCTGCCTGCAACAGTCACCCGCACCCGGGCCAGCAGGAGCACCAGGAACCTGGAGGAGTACCAGCGGTGGCACCTGCAGCTACTGGAGCACCAGCTCCACACCCAGGACCACTGGGTCCGGGAGGACCTGTGGATGCAGCAGTGACACTTGGAGGTGCTGGAGGAGCAGGGCCGTACCCTCAGAGGTCACCTCCAGACCTTGGAGGACAGGTTCTTGCCTCCTCCTGCTCCAGCCCCTGCGGCCGCCCCAGCTCTCGCTCCTCCTCCCACCCCTGCTCCCCCTCCCGCTTCCTCCTGTCTCCCGTCCCTCCTGCCCCACCCTCCACACCCACTCCCCCCGACGCCCCCGCACCCGCAGTGCTGTGAGACGGGAAAGCCAGCAGGACCCCCAACCCTGAGCTTTCCCTTCCCCCCACTCCCCTTCTTTCCAGATTTCCCCCTCCCCTCTTCCACCCTCCTTCCTCTCCCCCCCACCCCAGTTATGTACAATAAAGAGGTTTTTTTTGGCAAAACAGGTGTTTTTATTTTACATTAGGAAGGGCGGGTGAGGGAGGAGAAAGGAGAAGGAAGGAAGGGTGGAAGAAGGCCCCAGTGGGGCATGCAGGGAGAGTTCAGTCCTCCTCCACCTGGAAACTCTCCTGCAGGGCTTCCTGGATTTGGACGGCCCCCCGCTGGGCCTCCTGGATGGCTGTGGTGCGGAGCTGCATGTACTGGCCAGCCATGCACTCAGCCTCAGCCATCCAGGCTGGCAGGAAAGCCTCCTCCTTCCTTCCACAAATTGTGCAGCATACAACATGCTGCCACCATGGGAGGGATATTGTGCTCGGCGAGGTCGAGGCGGGTGAGGAGGCATCTAAATCTGGCTTTCAGGGGTCCGAAGGCCCCCTCGACCACAATGTGGGCCCTGGTGAGCCTGGCATCAAAGGCCTGCCGGGAGGGGTTGAGGTGCCCGTGTACGGCTTCATCAGCCAGGGCTGTAGGGGATAGGCTGCATCCCCCACCAGGCAGACGGGCATGTCCACGTCCCCGTGGTTGGGGAAGAAGGTCCCAGCCTGCAGCCTCTGGCACATGGAGGAGTTGTGAAACACCCTGGCGTCGTTTGCCTTGCCAGACCAGTCCACATTAATGTCCGAGAACTGGCCCCGGTGGTCAAACACAGCTTGCAGGAGGACAGAGAAGTACCCCTTGCGGTTGATGTACTTGGAGGCCTGGTGCTCCAGGGCATGGATGGGGATTTACGTCCTGTTGATGGCCCCCCACAGTTGGGGAAGCCGAGGGCGCCGAACCCCTGGATGACTGTGTCTGGGTCGGCAAGGCGGAGCACCTGTGGAGCAGCACCCGGTTGATGGCCTTGACCACCTGCAGAGAGACACAGCAAACCGCGAATCACTGGGGCACTCGGGTGGCTGGGAGTATTCGTTCCCTGGCACTGTCCTGTGCCCCACTCCCGGAAGTGACCCCCACTGCGATCCTGGCCACGACCCCTCCGGTGCGGGGCGCTTTCGCCTCCTCCCGCCCACCCTTTGTCCCTGGGGCGGCCCATCCCCTCCTCGCAGCCCTCCTCCCCCCCGGCTCGGTGGCCGACGAGTGCCATATCTGCATGAGCACCGCTCCGACGGTGCATCTCCCCACGCCGAACTGGTTCCCGACGGATCGGTAGCTGTCCGGCGTGGAGAGCTTCCAGAGAGCGATGGCCACATGCTTCTGGAGGGGGATGGCGGGCCTCATGAGAGTGTCCCGTCGCCGCAGAGCAGGGGCGAGCCACTCGCAGAGCTCCAGGAAGGTGTCCCTCTTCATCTGGAAGTTCTGGGTTCACTATTGGTCTCCACAGCGCTCCAGGACAATGCGGTCCCACCAGTCGCAGCTGGTGTCCAGACGCCAGATGCATCGGGGCACGCTGGCATCCAGCCGCTGCTGCGGCTCCTCCATGACCCCCAGGAAGGCCAGGGTTGCAGCAGCAAGTCCAAACACTGGAGCAGCATGCCCAGGGCGAGCTCTGGCTCCATGGTGCCAACTGCGGCAGCGTCCCCAATGGGAACCACCGACACAGGCAGGTGGAGAGGAAAACGCTTTGCTGTCCCTCGGCGAGGTTGGAAAGCAAGCGGAAAAGCTGAGAACCGGCTGTCCAGGGGGGGGGCCCTTTAAGCACGAGCCTCAGATAGCCTCAAACAGCAGCCACACAAAGCAACTACTGACCTGATGCCCTGCCAGAACCGGTTTCAGTTGCCCTTAAATGCAACCCAGCGTCCACTCAGTGTGGACGCGCTATTTTGAATTAGCAAAATGCTAATTCGAATTAGTTTTTGGGTCTAGATGTGTTATTTCGAATTAGCTTATTTCGAATTAACTAATTCGAAATAAGTTAGTTCGAATTAGCACTGTAGTGTAGACATACCCTAATATAACTGCATCTACACTACAGACTTCTGCCAGTACAGCTCTGCCAGTCAAGGATCACAGTCTTAACATGCCTGACCAATGTAGCTGGGCTAGAAGAACTCTGTAGTATTAACATGGTGTCATGTACCAATCATTGTTGTATTTCGGTACCCCCCTAATGTTAAAGTGAATGAGAGAGGAGAGCCTTTCTTTGAAGGCTGGGGTTATTGGCAGTCCTGTGGGATGAGCTAAATCAGCATATTTTAGGGTTGCATTTTCCTGAGCCACACTCTTTTGGCTATAGGTCTCCTCCCCTTCCCTCCTCTCCCCTCCCCCACCCCAAAAGAACAAAGATTCCAGGCACCATCCACCACCACAATCCCCACAAAAATGAAATTTTACATCACGAGGGGCCAGGCACCCTGAAGTTAATATATCCCATTGTCTCTTCTCTTTATATACTGTACTTAGACTGCTTGCCTTTGAGGCAGGGGCCATTTTTTCGCAAGACATGTTTACCACACAGAATGATGCCTGATCCTGATCAGAGGGTGTGAACTGAACAGGTGACATGTCAATATGGGGATAGTTGAAATCCCCCACTATTATTGAGTTCTTTATTTTGATAGCCTCTCTAATCTCCCTTAGCATTTCATAGTCACTATTACTGTCCTGGTCAGGTGGTCGATAATAGATCCCTACTGTTATATTCTTATTAGAGAAGGAAATTACTATCCATAGAGATTCTATGGAGCATGTTGATTTATTTAAGAGATTTTTACTTCATTTGATTCTAAATATTTTCTTTCACATATAGTGCCATTCTCCCACCCACACAACCTGTTCTGTCCTTCTGATATATTTTGTACCCCAGAATGATTGTATCCCATTGATTGTCCTCGCTCCATCAGGTTTCTGTGATGCCTATTATATCAGTATCCTCCTTTAATACAAGGCACTCTAGTTCACCCATCTTATTTTTTAGATTTCTGGTATTTGTGTACAAGCACTTTAAAAACTTGTCACTGTTTATTTGTCTGCCCTTTTCTGATGTATCAGATCCTTGATGTGAATGTTTTTAATCTGATCTGGCCCATACTTTATCCTCTTCCATCCTTTCCTCCTCACTAAAACCGAGAGAATCTCTATCAATAGATTCTCCTCTAAGGGTGTGTCTAGACTACAGGGTTTGGTCGACAAAAGTGGACTTTTGTCGACAAAACTATACCTGCGTCCACACTGCCTTTGAGTTATGTCAACATAACGTCGACAAAACTCAGCAGTTTTGTCGACGTATGTAAACCTCATTCTACAAGGAATAACACCTTTTATCGACAGAGTTCTGTCGATAGAAGGCATTATTGCATCTACACTGTCCTTTGCGTCCACACTGTTACGTCAACAAAGCGGCTTGCTTTGTCGACAGAACTGGATGTAGTCTAGACGCTCTTTGTCAACAGAAGATTTGTCAACAGTATCTGTCAACAAAACTTCTGTTGACAAAACCCTGTAGTCTGGACATACCCTAAGAGACGTCTCTGTCTGCTCCACATGCTCCTCTGCACCAATCAGCTTTCCCCCCCATCTCTTAGTTTAAAAACTGCTGTGCAACTTTTTTAATGTTAAGTGTCAGCAGTCTGGATCCACTTTGGTTTAGGTGGAGCCCATCCTTTCTGTACAGGCTCCCCCTATCCCAAAAGTTTACCCAGTTCCTTATAAATCTAAACTCCTCCTCCCTACATCATTGTCTCATCCATGCATTGAGACTCTGAAGCTCTGCCTGCCTACCTGGCCCTGTGCGTGGAACTAGAAGCATTTCTGAGAATGCCACCATAGAGGTCCTGGATTTCAGTCTCTTTCCTAGCAGCCTAAATTTGTCCTCCAGAACCTCTCTCCCACCCTTGCCTATGTCAATGGTACCTACATGTACCACGACCACTGGCTGCTCCCCAGCACTACACATAAGTCTATCTAGATGCCTTGAGAGATCCGCAACCTTTGCACCAGGCAGGCAAGTCACCATATGGTTCTCCCGGTCATCGCAAACCCAGCTATCTACATTTCTAATGATCGAATCTCCCATTACTAACACCTGCCTTTTCCTAATGACTGGAGTTCCCTCCCCTGGAGAGGTAACCTCAGTGTGAGAGGATACCCCAACATCTGAAAGGAAGGTCCCAACTATGGGAAGGTTTCCCTCTGCTCTGGTTGACTGCTCTCCTTCCCTGAGCCTTTCATCCTCCTTAACAGCACAGAGGCTTTCTGACCAGAGGTGGGACAATTCTACAGCGTCCCGGAAAGCCTCATCTATGGACTTCTCTGCCTCCCTCAGCTCCTCCAGTTCAGCCACTCTGCCTCCAAAGCCCGTACGCGGTCTCTGAGGGCCAGGTGCTCCTTGCGCCAAATGCACACATATGCCACCCACCCATAGGGCAAGTAATCATACATGTTATACTGAGTGCAATAAACAGAATAGCCCCCACTCTGCTGCTGGGATTCTGCCTGCATTCTCTCCTACAGCTACCTAGGTTATTGATAGGGTTTCTAGTTAAATCAGGAAGTTTTGATGAAAACCTTTAAACTAAACCATAAAGAATGGCAAGTGTACCTTGGTCCCTTCCCACTCCCCTTCCAAACTCCCTCTCAAAACTCCCTCCCAAAACTTTATTCAACTAAATTGCAAACAGAGCTGTAAACAATGACATTTTTCGTATAAATCTTGAAAACAGCATCAGCACAAAGGAAAGTACCTAGTTGCTTCAACTTTCTTCTGTTTTTCATATATCGGATCTGTCCACGCAACAAGCACAGATTGAGATGACATAACACGAACACTTATGTCTTTTGCTTCCTCTAGCTCATCTTCCTCTGAAATAGCAAAGTAATGTGGTGAGTTAGTAATGAGAACGTTGGAGATCTCAATGCAGTTGTAATTGCACCACAACAATATACGACAGACACAGATGAGGACACATAATACAATGATAACAGGTAGAACCCTACAGTAATATGATTCTCCCTGCTATATGTTTTAGTATAAGAATAAGGTTTAGCTCTGTTGTCCAAAATTCCATAAGCGTTTAGCCAGTTCTAACCAGTTATTTACAGCAGACAAATTATTAAAATACTCACATTCCTTCCCCCCAGCAAACCCACCACTAGGGCTGTGCAGAGGACAAATTCCATTTCATAAAAGATTTTTAATTGTAAATTGTAGGGTAATCTGTGAAATAATTTTTTTAATTGTTTTGGTTCGATCAAAAGGTTTTGTTTCTACAAAAATGAAACGTTTTGTATCAATTTCAGCTTTTTATTTTAAATATAGAATATATACTTTTTTTAAAAAAAAAGTCACTTCAAAATGAAAAACCAAAATGTTTCATTAAAAAATGTTAAAATGGGACATATTCAAACTGTAATATGATGTGGTGAGAAAAATGCTTAGCCATGTTGACGACTTAATGCTGCATGAGTTCATTTCTAATCTACCTCATTTCCAGGGAAGAGGAGGAGGCAAAAATTTGCAGCAGATACCTAGCCCCTCTGAAAATCAGGGAACCAAAGAGATGTTTACACTTAGGCACTTAATCTTGATAACATGGGTCTGTCCTTCTTGCTATTATAGTCAGTAGGAGCTTTGCCACTGATTGCAGTCCTTTATGCACAGATCTATTCTACTGTTATTTACTATTTGAATTACTGGAGCAACTAAACACAGTCAGGGTCAGTGCCTCAGTGTGCTAGCTACTGTACAAACACCTAGTAAGCGACAGCTCCTATCCCAGTCTACTGTCACATAGCAGCATATATTTCACTTGTTATACACATGGCTCCACAATTTGCCTGCAAATATGAAAATAATGTACCTGAGATCTTCCTCTTGGTTAAAGCTGCCCTATAGACTGGCTGACTCCGTCGCTGGGAATTCCTTGATTGCAGTGAAACCATATAAACTGATTCAGATGCTACATGTGAGAAAAAGCAGAGACTTCTCTATAATCTTTTCCATGGCGATATTTCAATATGGTCAAGCAAGTCTTGCCACATTTTTATTAGGAAAATTCTCTCTCGAGGAGGAAAAATCAGTTTCCTTGAGACATAACTTGGAAACTGTTGGAATTTACCTCTAGAGGTTTTCATATGCATAAATGCCATAGACAGGGATGTATTTTAGAGACAGGTCCACACCTGGCAGAGTGCTGACGGCAACTTGCACAGAACGGAGAGAGGAAGATCACTTGCAAGAGGGAAGTGTTTGGAGGAAGCATCAGGAAGTCAGTCTGTGTGCATATGACTAGAATGCTAGTTTGCACTGCAATAGCCCTGCAAATTACTCTCTTCATAAAAAACCAGTTTAGTTTAGTGTTAACAACTTGGAGTCCTCTGATGCAGCAAGTAAAGTTTGGTGCATAGTGTACTGCCCTCCCCCGAACTATTCAGCCTATGTAGATTGCTGATTCAGCCTATGTCTGTTCTGCTCAGTGGACAGATCTCCATCTAATATGAACCAGTTATACTCTAATCTCTCACTTCCATGAATTATAATTACATTTATTACTTTTCATTTTTCATGAGGAAAATTCTTTAAAATCATTTGGAAAAACAATGATTGCTTCTCCTTTTTATGAATTTAGTAAATTATGTGACTGGAAGGCATGTGCAATCACTTATAAAGATTAATTTCTCAACTATTAGGCTGACTCAGGAAACTTTCACATAGCCAGCCCTGCTCTACTCTCTTGTTGACTCACTATAGAATCATAGAATAATAGGACTGGAAGGGACCTCAAGAGGTCATCGAGTCCAGCCCCCCGCCCTCAAGGCAGGACCAAGCTCCGTCTACACCATCCCTGACAGATGTCTATCTAACCTGTTCTTAAATATCTCCAGAGAGGGAGATTCCACCACCTCCCTTGGCAATTTATTCCAATATTTGACCACCCTGACAGTTAGGAATTTTTTCCTAATGTTCAATCTAAACCTCCCCTGCTGCACTTTAAGCCCATTACTCCTTGTCCTGTCCTCAGAAACCAAGAGGAACAAATTTTCGCCTTCCTCCTTGTGACCCCCTTTTAGATATTTGAAAACCGCTATCGTGTCCCCCCTTAATCTTCTTTTTTCCAAACTAAACAAGCCCAGTTCATGAAGCCTGGCTTCATAGGTCATGTTCTCTAGACCTTTAATCATTCTTGTCGCTCTTCTCTGTACCCTTTCCAATTTCTCCACATCTTTCTTGAAATGTGGCACCCAGAACTGGACACAGTACTCCAGCTGAGGCCTAACTAGTGCAGAGTAGAGCGGCAGAATGACTTCACGAGTTTTGCTTACAACACCCCTGTTGATACAACCTAGAATCATATTTGCTTTTTTGGCAACAGCATCACACTGTTGACTCATATTCAACTTGTGGTCCACTATGACCCCTAGATCCCTTTCCGCCATGCTCCTTCCTAGACAGTCGCTTCCCATCTTGTATGTATGGAACTGATTGTTCCTTCCTAAGTGGCGCACTTTGCATTTCTCTTTATTAAACCTCATCCTGTTTACCTCTGACCATTTCTCTAACTTGCTACGGTCATTTTGAATTATATCCCTATCCTCCAAAGAAGTTGCAACCCCACCCAGTTTGGTGTCATCCACAAACTTAATAAGCGTACTCTCTATCCCAATATCTACATCATTGATGAAGATATTGAACAGTACGGGTCCCAAAACAGACCCTTGCGGCACTCCACTTGTTATCCCTTTCCAGCAGGATTTAGAACCGTTAACAACAACTCTCTGACTACGGTTATCCAGCCAATTATGCACCCACCTTATCGTGGCCCTATCTAAGTTATATTTGCATATATATAGCATAAGAAGGATCCTGCATGATAAATATCATGTCCTCATTCAACAAGGTACATGAGCCCATGCCTAACTTTAAGTCTGACTTCAGAGGAGTTACTCACAGGCTTAAAGTTAGACACATCCCTAAGAACCTTGCTGAATCTGAACCTAAAACACATCCCTTGATGTTTAAGTAGTTCTGTGCTAGGATGTGAATCAATTGTCCCATGCTGAAAGTCAGTAAGTGTGTGTTAATAAGGGTTTCATTTTTTATATAAAATATATTAGCTCTGAGATTCAGGATTCAAAAAAGAGCTAGACAGATTCATGGAGGTTAGGTCCATCAATAGCTATTAGCTAGGATGGGTAGGAATGGTGTCCCTAGCCTCTGTTTGTCTGGAAATGGATGACAGGAGAGGTATCACATGAGGATTACTTGTTGTGTTCCCTCTCTCTGGGGCATCTGGTATTAGCCACTGTTGGCAGACAGGACACTGGGCTAGATGGACCTTTGGTCTGACCTAGTATGGCCATTCTTATGTTCTTATGAGATTAATAGCCTTCTCCAGCTCCACTGACTCAAATGGTTTTGGTCTTCCTGGTCCTGTGTAAAATGCACCAAGGAACACAAAGTTGTGCTCTCATAATAGCATAAGTGAAGGACATATATGGGCACAGTCACATAGTCGCTTGCAATGAACGGAAATGTGTCTCAGCCTCACCGAACACTCCCCACCCCCATTCCTCTGGGGGAAGATAGGTTGGGAGTAGAGAATGGGAAGGCACAGATTTAAGTGTGACCTTCCCCCTTCCCCTCCCAGCCCAGAATGCACAGGCAAGATGTAACTATGCATTCCCTTCTTCAGCCTTACTTCTATTAGGCAGGAATAATTTGGCAGCCACAAGCAGGCAACAGTCTCTTTAATACGGGTTCAGGTTCTGCTAAACTTTCTGTCCTGGCCATGATCTTTTACTTTGTGCTTCACATGTGCACACTCCACATAGTGCAGGGTCAAGCTCTAACAGTGTGCATTGAGCATACATGGCGTTTACCCTGTTAACATATGGCCTATGATCCTTGAGCACTGTTAAAAATATAAACAGCTCAGTGTGGGTAATAATTGGCCCACAGGCTGGATGCAGTTTGCCAGGGTAAGTTCTGTTGGGCCACTGGACATTTTTTTTACCCAGACATCCACAGGTATGGCTGCTAGCAGCTCCCATTGGCCATTCCTGGCCAATAGGAGCTATAGGAAGAGCCATGGGCTTCCCACAGCTTTAACTTGCTGGGAATGGCAAACCATGGTCAACAGGAGTTGCAGATGCAGAGGTAAATAAAACATCCCGTGGCCTGCCAGGGGCTAACCCTGGTTAATCATATCCAGCCAATATTGCCTACCCCTAGTTTAGCTTTATCTTACATCCACTGGATCCCATTATACCCTTTGCCTGATAGACGGAAGAGCCAATTATCACCGTGGAGATACTTATAGACTATTACCAAGTGATCCCTTAATTTTCTCTTTGTTAAGCTAAATAGATTGCTCTTCTTGAGCCTATCACTATAAAGTACATCTGAACAGAAGGACATCACAGTGCAGTACTGACCGTACATTAAACAAAAAGAATAGAAACCAAACTCATGGGCTGATACTCACCTAGTTTCTTAGCCTCATGGTTTCGTTCATATTTTTGCAGAGGAACATAACTCATCTTTCGGCTGCTTTCCCCATAACCCAAGAGGTAGCCTTGAGATCTACGTGGACTCCTAAGACGTGAGGATTGGGGTAGCTTCCACCGGACAGGTAACTTGTCTGGAGATCGGACACGTGCTCTCAAAGGTTTGTGTGGCACTTCCTTCTCTTCAAAAAACAAGCAAGCAAACACACAAAACCACCATAGTTACTATTATGCATTTCTCATATATGGCAGCAACTGTTTATCTGCACATTTTGCTATAAAATATCAAAATGTTTGCAGCTCTTCTTAAAATTTGTGACACATCCAACCCCAATAAAAACATGCTTTCAATACATTTTTCCCAGACACTTCAGACAAAATGGTGTAAGACATCCAAAGTGAAAACATATCATATTGCAAGGGCTCCTGCCAGAAATCTGGGATGTCTTACAAATCTCTCGTTTCATCTTTTCCCGTCCGCCGCCCCTCCCCTGCAGCTTTAGGCACACAAGTATGTTATTTTCTGGCAAGTATTAAAGGTCAGTATAAAATACAGTACAGAAATATTACACTATTTACAGCTTTCCTACAAAAAGTTACGTGCACTGAAAGCAGTTTCAGATCTCCATAATGACAACTGATGTGTACTGGTCATCTACAGGTTCTTGACTATGCTTTCTTGCATGTGCCTGAACTCTTGACTGCTAAAGTTCAGTTACAAACTTGCTTTACAGGATTGCTCATGCAGAGAACACCACAACTGGTACTTTATAAAAGTAATTTGTATTTTATATTCCTAGTACGTTAGAAACTTCCCTCTTAAGAAATTACATTTATATGACCATTGCTTGAGCAAGTCATTCCTTCCAATGGCATTACCTTCTTTTGTTGTGCCAGTTCCCACTTTAAATATCCATGGTGTCATGCTAACAAGCAGATAGCTCACCATGTTGTTTCTCTCACTGCACTAGCCAGGAAAGACTGTTGCTTACCCAAACCAGGGAGAGAAGCTGAAGCTGTGTTCCCTCCCACTCCCCTTTACTCAAATCCCTACAAGCACCATTCAGAGAACAAGCCATAGGCACAACTCTTCTCTCAGTGACACCAGTGTAACTCCACTGAGCTTAGGGTTCAGGCAACAGTAAAGAGAATTTGTCCCTCTGGGTCCAAATATCCCCAGCTGGCAGGACTGAGCACATCTACTTATTAGCACCAATTCAAGAAAATACCCTGTAATGAGATGCAGTCACAGAAGTCCCCTTGGGATTGTTCCCCAGTGTGCTGATCAAGCCACTGACACCCACCTTCTTACACTCTGGGGTTCTCCACCACCCCATCCTGCTGGACCAGATCCTCTGGTCTCCCCCAGACAAGGCACAGAGTTGGGGTAATCACCCCCCTGTAGAGCAATGCAGGCCCTTAACCACTTCAGCTCCAGGTGGGTGATGTTCTAGGGCTCAGCACCCAGGAAACCAACCCTCAAATGGGACCAACTCCCCCCTCCCAATAAAAGTTGTAAAAGTTTTAGATAGAGAAAGCTCATGAGGATGTTCAAACTCTTTATCGGTGAAAGATGTGTACACTGGTCATCCCCTACGGGTAACCATTATTTACACTGGGCCCAATAGTAAACAAAAGGGCTTTTTATTAAGTACAAACAGTAGGATTTAAGTGGCTGCAAGTGAAAGCAGGCAGATCAAAGTAAATTACTAAATTAAAATGAAAAGCAAACACATAGCTAGTTCTAATTCACTAAGGGTACATCTACACAGCAATATTATTTTGAATGAGTAGCGTTATTTCAAAATACCTTAGTCCATGTCTACACAGCGGGCAGTTATTTTATAATAATATGAAACAAAATACTTCTTATTCCAACTCCTGTAACCCTCATTGTAAAAGTAAGGGAAGTCGGAGGAAGAGTGCTCTATTTCAAAATAAGTGCTGTGTAAACACTCCCAATTTTGAAATAAGCTATTTTGAAATAAACTACACAATTGACAAAGCTCAATTTGCATAGCTTATTTTGAGTTAAGCCCTGCTGTGTAGACACACCCTTATTCTGACTTGGGTCTCCCACCCTTTTTATATCTTTTTGTGTGTGCCAGGCCAAGGGCTAATAGCTTCCCATAGCTTATATAGACTTTTCCCCAGGGCAGGGATCTTTTGTTCTACATCCCCCCTTCCATGGAAAAATACCAGGGGCAAAGTGGAATCTCAGTACCAGGTGGAATAGTCACGTGTCTTACTAATCCAATTAGCCTTTGGACTTACAGGATGAACAAGGCTATTTACAAGTCGTTAAGTTGATCAACAAATTGTTAAGGCTTCCAGGGAAAAGAGAGAGGGGTATCGGTAATGGCTCTCATTAGCACATGTAAAACTTTAAACCATCTCATACTTCATATTTCTAACTTCTCATACAAGAGTGATACGTGCAACAGAATAGATATACAGATCCAGCAGACTGTAACATTAAAATTGATAGTTTACATGAAGTATCGTGTGCAAAGCATCTCCAGGTTATTTATATTCATAAGCCAATTTTCATAAAGCATGGGGAGGAACCGTCACAACCTCTATTCAAAGTCGTACTGAAACACATACTTGACATTAAGCATGTACTTAAGTCACACTGGACTCAATAGGACATAAGTACTGCTTAAAGTTAAACACATAAACATGCTTTCCTGAATCAGGGCCTCTGAGAGGATCTACTCCTCCATTTCCAAGGATCAATTACTATTGTTAATATATGATAGGGTACTGCCAATAGTTCTGAAAACGTAAGTACGTTGACAATCTTTATTAAGCAACCATACACCTTAAGCAATCAACTCAAGGTATCTCAATCATTTCCCAATGTTAAACCATCACTTTTCCAGTGAGAGCAGAGACTGCCTAGACCAGGTCACAGAGCTCTTCTCACAGATCATCTACAAAGGTTTGGATGTCAATGCTCCTAACGCACATGATGCATGATGGACAAGGCTTGGGGACATAGGGAAGCGTACACTTCGCAGAGTTCTGTGTATTGCTTTTAGGTTTTTTTGCTGAAACACCTTTTGATTTGACCTATTATGTAATTCACTAGACAGGTCAATGGTTCAGGCAGCCATCTGTGTACAGATTAGAAGACATTTTAGTGTGTTTTAATTAAGTATTTATAGTTCAAACATTTTATAACGTTTTTAAGTATTTGTACTTGTGTGGCCATTTTCACCTCTACATTCTAGCTTCTTTGCGCCATTTTTTCATTACAAAGCAGCTATAAAGCTAGGTCACCCAGCAAGTTAAAGCAGGCTTACAGCCACTTTGAGTAGCTGGCACAATGCAAATCAGCTGGAGCGCAGCAGTGGATCTGGTCCTGAGAGCTCTATAAAAAAACCATAACAATTTTTATATTAAATAAGTATTTCATTTACAGGATTCCCTTCCATTTTTCAAATAACACTTTCAATCACCTTCATTAAAAGGCTAACTACTCAAGCAACCACTTTTTCTTGTTCCTTGAAGCTGTCATTTAATACAGGTTTCACCTTATAACCCATTTTTAAAGGTCAGTTATTTATAGACTGCATACAATATTCAGTGCTAATTTACAGCCCTTTTGTACAGAACTGTAAATCTACCAAATTTAAGTCCTGAATCTACTCTTCCTCTTTATTTTGTTAAAAAATGTAGGTTATTGCTGAGGCTTTTCTTCACTGAATCAACTAAGAGCTCACACTGGTAAATAATGTAATTGAGCCTTTGAGAAGCTTGTTGGTTGAGCATGGCAGGAAGGAAATCTGCAGTGGATCATGTTTTTCTTCACCAGTTAGTGTCATAACTTTCCAACTGGAATTACTATAAAGAGTTCCAGGGGACACAGGGTACAAGAGAAACCAAGCCAGCCAAAAAGCCATATGGAAAGTATTCTATTTAACACAAATGTAGCTTTAGGAAAAAGAAGTGCATCTGCTCTAATGTTAAATGAAGGACGTTCACGAAGATTTTAAAAAATAGGACTTTGTAGGTCTTCTGCAGGTTGGTCATTCTTGCTCCAGGGATTACTGCCTGTCTGCCCTATTTTACTAATAACCTGCTTCCCATTGATCATCTTACCTGAAGATGTCAAGGACCCCCAAAGAGTTTTGAATACAGGCAGTCCCCAGGTTACGTACAAGATAGGGACTGTAGGTTTGTTCTTAAGTTGAATCTGTATGTAAGTCGGAACTGGAGTCCAGATTCAGCCGCTGCTGAAACTGACCGCCAGTTCTGACTTACATACAGATTCAACTTAAGAACAAACCTACAGTCCCTATCTTGTACGTAACCTGGGGACTGCCTGTATTCAAAACTCTTTGGGGGTCCTTGACATCTTCAGGTAAGATGATCAATGGGAAGCAGGTTATTAGTAAAATAGGGCAGACAGGCAGTAATCCCTGGAGCAAGAATGACCAACCTGCAGAAGACCTACAAAGTCCTATTTTTTAAAATCTTCGTGAACGTCCTTCATTTAACATTAGAGCAGATGCACTTCTTTTTCCTAAAGCTACATTTGTGTTAAATAGAATACTTTCCATATGGCTTTTTGGCTGGCTTGGTTTCTCTTGTACCCTGTGTCCCCTGGAACTCTTTATAGTAATTCCAGTTGGAAAGTTATGACACTAACTGGTGAAGAAAAACATGATCCACTGCAGATTTCCTTCCTGCCATGCTCAACCAACAAGCTTCTCAAGGGGCACCGGAGCAGCTTACGAAAGGGGCTCTCTCACCCCGGAGCTCGCAGGTAGCAATCCGCTACCTCGACCTCCGGGGCGAGAAAGCCCCGTTCGTAAGTGCGGATCCGACATAAGTCGGATCCGCGTAAGTCCGGGACTGCCTGTAGTTAGGGATTCAGGTAATTGTGGACGCCAGCCCAGCAGGTTTTCAGTTCTGCATCCAAAGCTAGAAATTCTCAGCACCAACCCTGCTAAACCTGCTTTTTTTCTGGACAGCAGGTTGGATTTCCCTAGGCTAGTTGGCTCTGCAGCTCCACACAGCCAGAAGTCCTCAAGACTGAGCGGCACATGAGTCCTGGTCACAAGAAACTAAACTCCCAAGGACAGGGCTAGAACTGGAATCTTGTGGGAGTCCAAGAAGCCCCAGGACTAAAGCTATTGCACAGCTCACTATCAGAGCAAGATTCTGACTTCAC